CAAAGGTGTTGTGTGAGAAACCAGACATAAGAATTGGAGGGGAGTAGATTCAATGGATGAGGGAACAAGATTATGGAGCAAGTGAGACTAGGAGATTTGAGCACCCAGTAGGCATGGTTTGATGAACCAAGAGGGTCAGATTTAGTGAGAATATTGTGTAGGGTACTATAACCGTGGATACAGCACTGTCCATTTGTTCATTCCCACAGAATGGACAGTACTAATGGTAAATCCATCCTTAGTTAATAAGTGTTATATCAATACTAATTAATTGCTTGTAACAAATTCACCACACTAATTCAAAATGTTACCAGTAGAAAGAACTATGCTGTTAGGGACAGGAAGGGTATCAAGGAATGAAGGAAGTTTTTGTCCTCGTAGATAGGTAGGTAGGTAGGTAGGTAGATAAATTCTACTGGGCCTGGAGAGTTGACTCAGCAGATAAGAGCACTTACTTCTCTTACAGAGGACTCAGGTTCAACTCTCAGCATCCATCTGTAACTCCAGTTCTATTGGATCCAACACCTTCTTCTGGTCCCTGTGGGCGCCAGGAATGCACATGATGCATGCAGGTACATGGAAGAAAACTACCCATGCACATAAAATAATAATGTCTAAAACTAAAAAGAAATCCACAACTCTAAAATGAATAAATCCTACTAACTTGAGAAGAAAGAAGCATGGGCTTTTGAATGAGACTCAGAGAAAACCAAATATAAAAGGTACCAGAGGTTTTCCTGGAAAGTCACAAAGGGCCTTAAAACATTACATATTTATTGAGAAGAAGAAAAGATGCCTTCCCTTCCAAGGGTCATGTGAGGAGAACACAGCTCCAAGACCTAAGACAAACACTTGGCTTTTCAGCATTGTTTGGCAACTTGAATTTTCCCCCTCTGAGGAAGGGATTTGCAGAGATGGCAAAAACATTTTTGATCAATTGTGGAATCAGTGTTTGCTTTACACATTGATCTTTTCCCTCCTTCAATCAAAGCTCATTTTTTGAAGCCCAAGGCTTCTGAAATCAGTGAAAAGTAAACTGTGGTGTCATCTCTGGCCCTGGGAACCTTAGTGATACTGGCAAGACCACTTAGGCATTTGGAGACTCATTTTCAATCACATACAACAGGGGATTCCTGCCTCATAGACTTGCTATAAAGAGTAAAATAGCCTGATATTGAGACCATCCTGGGTTACACAGTGAATGTCAGGTCAGCCTGAGCTATGGAGTAAAAACTTGTCTCATAAAAGCAGTATTTGGAGCTCAGGAATTAAGAGTACTTGATGCTCCTGCAAATGGACCTGGGTTTGGTTCCCAGAATCACATGGTAGCTCACAAACATCTGGAACTCCAGTTCCTGGGAATCCAATACCCTTTTCTGGCATCTGTGTGTATCAGGCATGAAAATGGTACACGGACACACATATAAGCAAAACACTCATAAACATAACAAAAATAAAGCCTTAAGAAGCAACATATGGATCTGTGACTCAGAGGTAGAGCATTTGCCTAGCATATATGAAGTTCTGGGTTCGATTCCCAGCACTGCAAACAAAAAATTGGCATTCTGTTCCATAATTCATACGCTACACTTAAAGGAAAGGTTCTTCAGTATTCCATTCTATAAGTTGTACATATTGATTTTATTTATTTATTCTCTCATAAAGTTTCCCCTCCCTCCCGTCCCCTGTCAAGGCTGGATGAGGCAACCTGGCAGGAGAAAAAGGATCCCAAAAGCAGGGAAAGATCAGAAACAGCCCCTCCCTTGCTCTCACTGTTAGGATTCCCACAGGAACACCAAGCTATACAACCATAACATACATGCAGAAACATATTGATTGTTGTTAAGACTCCTCAAGATACTGTGCTAAAGGCTTTATGGTTGTTATCTCATTTAACCCTTCCTGTAAAGCAGGAATTCCTAGCTCCATTGATAAGGCACACAGAAGTGACTTGTCACACAACTGATAAATGAGTCAAAGTAGGATGAGACACTTGGCCTGCAGTCCACAAATGTCATCAACTATCTACACATGGAATCCCTGTTAGCACAGAGTCAGCGTTGTGGGTGGCCATTTTATATCTTACTACACAGTTACAGTGCTAAACTGCCAGGCTTTTTCATCCATGTGGTCCCATCTGAGTAATAATATACTTTCACAAAGTGGCTGTGACTGAGAGGAAATGGTGAAGAATTGGACGGATTTCCTCACTAGCATGCAGGAGGAGGAATCACTTCTTGTTCGACAGGCCTTCAGATATTCCAGGTGAGTAACACTGCACCAAGCCATCCATGTAACCAAGGGCAGTGATCACACCTGTAGAAAGACCTGTTGTTTTTGGTAAGCTTAGCTATTCTTAGTACTCATTCTTTTTGCATGTGTAGATGTATGCAATGCATGCATGTGTGGGAATACACACATGTCTGGGTGCGTACATGTGAAAGCTTGAGATTGATATTGGTTGTCTTCTCCAATCACTCTCTGCATTATGTATAAAGTCAGGTCGCTAGCCAAATCAGAACCTAGCATTTTAGCTATTCCAGCCATACAAATCCTTATTATAAGGATTTCCTGTCTCTTGTGTTGGAATTACAGGTAGGGTACCAAACTCGCTTGCTTTTACCTGGGTCCTGGTTCATGCTGGTACAACAAGCATATTACCTACACCATCAACTCCCAACACATAATACTCAGTCTTAAAATTCATATCCAGCTAAGATTAATTATAGCCTTTCATTATCATTATCTATTTACTTTCCTAAAATATTTTATTTTTATTGTTTTTGTATGTGTTAGGGTTTGCCCACATGAGTACAGATACCTTTGAAGATATAGGATCCCTCTAGAGCTGGAATTGCAGGCAGCTGTGAGTCATCAAATGTGTGTGCTCAGAGTCAAACTTGGGTCCTTTGCAAGAGCAGTAATCTCTCCTAACTGCTGAGCCATCTCTACAAGCCCCTCATTGCATTCCTCTATTTCTTACATAATTCACTTGATAGCATGCACTCATGTGCTTGGAGAACACTCAAGAAAAAATGTTTGATGATGGGGATCTGAGAAATAACTGTTATTAATACTTTAGTTCTTATGGATGCAATTGCTATTTTCTTTTTAGTCTGAGATGCTTCTAGGAATACAGTTTTGTACATGTGTGTGATGTTGGGGACTGAGCCTAACACCTTCACACACTAAGCAAGTGCTTTACCACTGAGCTACATCCTGGTGTTTGGTTCTAAATCTTGGGTATGTGAGTTTGTATGCGTACGTGAATGTGAGCATGTGTGGAGTTGTTAAAAGGACAACTCTTGACATCGGTTCTCATCCGACTTATTTAAAACAGTGCCTTTTGTTCTTTGTTGCTGGAAACTCCAGGCTAGCTGGGATTCTCCTGTCTGCACCTCTCATCTCACCATGGGAGCATTGAGGTTACAGGTGCAGGACCCCCCAGTCTCTCTTCACAAGGAATCTGGGCATCTGAACTCAGGCCCTCCCATCTGGGTAGCAAACACTTTACTTTTTTATTTTGGGACAGGGTCTCACTAAATTATTCAAACTGACCTGCTTTGAGCTCACCCAAGCCATGCCAAAGACTTGTGAGCCTCCTGCCTCAACCTCCCAAATAGCTGGGATTACAGGCCTGAACCACCAGGTAGAGTTTAGGAATACAATTCTTTTTTTTTTTCGAGACAGGGTTTCTCTGTATTGTTTTGGAGGCTGTCGGTCCAGCCTGGCCTCGAACTCACAGAGATCCGCCTGCCTCTGCCTCCCGAGTGCTGGGATTAAAGGCGTGCGCCACCACCGCCCAGCAGGAATACAATTCTTGATACATTGGCAAAACCTTAATAGAAGGCAACTTTATATTTTACGATGAGTTACCTACTTGTAGCATTGCTATAAGTCTGATCCCTGAACCCCAGCAGAACAATGGAGACACAGGAGTGTGTAAACACTTGAGTGTTCAGACTTACCTGTTTAAATGCACAGTGGTATTGGAAATGGTAACAAATATCTATAATCCATAATCCAATCCTTGGGAAACAGCCCGGAGGATCAGAATATCAAGGTCATTTTTAACTATATAGCAAGCTTGGAGTCACTTTGGTCTACATGGGAGCAAAAATATAATTCTAGTTGTTTTGTTTTGTTCATTTGTTTGTTTTTGTTTAGGTTTCTTTCTGTAGCTTTTGCTGTCCTGGAACTCACTCTGTAGATCGGGTTGCCCTCAAATTCACAGAGATTCTGCTGCCTCTGCCTCCTGAGTGCTGGAATTAAAGGTGTGCACCACCACCACACGGCTTTTGCTTTAAATGGCTCAGGGGGTAAAAGTGCTTGTCACCAAGACTGAAGATCTGAGTCTGATGCCTGGCACCTACACAGTGAGAGGAAAGAACTGACAGTTGCCCTCTGACTGTCACAAGTGTTTGTGACATGCATTCCCCCCCCCACACATGCACACACAATGCATATACAGGAACTCCCCTGATGGGGTGCAGGCTTTTTCCTTGGGAAGGGGTCATAGTATCACTTTATTTTCTGTTGCTGAGAGTTCATCCCGGTGTTTCATATCTGCCAGGCAAGCACTGCGCCACTGAGCCACATCCCAGGCAATCCGGCTATTTGTTTTCTTTTAACTCTGAGAACTGAATTGGATTCATTTTCTAGACATTTAATACACTTCAGAGCTCTAATACCAAGGCTTATATATTGGGTCTTTCACAGGGACCTCAAGCTTCCCAGATGTTAATATATAATATATATTAAATATACCACATACATCAAAGTTTTTATAAAGGCAAATCTTTCTTTTACTCAACTGCACTCTGAAAAGGCAAACAGATGGGAAAATGCAAACAGAATAAAAATAAACGCATCTGGAGCCCAGCATGAGATGTAAGAACAGGGGGCCCCCTTATGCCATGGCCGGAGGAACATTCCAGCCTTGCGTCAGCGGGCTTCTAGCCAACCTTGAAGCTCCCTAATATAAAGTCAGTCCCAGACAGCCCAGAGCAAGATGTGACCTCACAGCCTCCCTGCTCCCTAGTTGCTCCAGCGCTCCTGACCAAGTGGCCAGACTGGCTTGTCCCAGAGCCATGGCAAAGAATGGACTTGTCATTTGTATCCTGGTGGCCAGCTTACTCCTGGACCAGACCAATAGCTACCCATCCAGAGTGAAAGCCAGGAAACACAGCAAACGCCGTGTGAAAGGTAACGGGACTTTGCTGCCCAGCAAAAACCCTAGACTTACTCAGGCAGGGAAGGTGCAGGAGAAGATCCACACCCAAACTGCACCAGGAGATCATCATTACATCGTGGGTGTGTGGCTTTGCCGGGGATCCGGTGACTTTTGGAGTCTCTGGGGGAGTTTGCTATTTAAAGAAAACATATACTAGCATTCTTTTATTATTGAAAAAAAGTTCTTATAATGGAAACAGTCTCTATTGTGTGCCTTTTTTCCAATGAATTTCAATAATGTGGAACAATTCTGAGCTAGAGCTCACACGGACCTGTGGACATATACCTTTATGGATGGATGGTGGGAAAACAATATACTGATTAGTGGTGTCCTGTGATCACCCAGGTATAAATATATTCAAATATATTTGTAAGCTCACTACAGTCTCATTAAGTAAGATGGCTGGGGTAACTGGCTTCCTTTCGGCTATCCCGTGGGTTTATTTCCCCATCTCTGTCAGCCTTGGGACAGTTGCTGAAATCACGTATCTAAGTTTTCATATCATGGAGCACTGAATGTCTCTTTAAAACCTGTCAACACAAAATCAGACAGAATTTAAAGATATTTTGACATGGAATTCACTTGTCAAGCATAGCTGGATTTGAGATGGGCTGAGAGACAGAAACTTCACAGCTGCAAAGAAGCAAGATGATGGGACTGTGTCTGCCTGAGATGGAAACCTGAGCAGAAGAGAAATGCAGATGGCCCAGTGGCATTTTATCTCAGGCTCTGAGTTGTTTTCCTAACAGCGTGCTCCAACATAAATATCAAGGCGCTGTTTCCGTAGCACTTTCGCTTTGTTAAACACAAAGCCAAGCTGTAAGGGATGGCTGGCTCACTTGGGAAGTGGAGGCAGGATGATCAGGACTTCAAAGTCATCTTTGGCTAGGGAATTAGAGGCTGGGCCACATGAGTCCCTATTCTCAACAAACAAACGCAAAACCTCCAGTAAAGTCTAGATTTCACACCTCACCAGTGGATGATGAATCCCCTTGTGGGTCTTTGTTGTTATTGTTTGTGGGTTGTGTTGTTTTGGTTTTTCCTATTCCCGAGGACCATTTCCAAGGGGGCGTTTATGAAAGTCTCATCTGAGGGAAGGTGGCTAGTATTGCCTGCCTCTCCCTGCACGCTCCTTAAATGAAAGTTTCCCGTAGCTGAGATGAGGAGGTGCAGTGTGTCTCGGCAGGTGAGGACGGCAGAGAGGAAAGAGAAGACACTGAGTGGTGTGCCATGCTTTTGGGCCTCTCCTTTCTTTACTGAAGTAGGAACCGGGGTGAGGGGAAAGATGTGGAAATGTGAGCTTTTTGCTCTTTCTACTCTCTCCTATCCTAAGGTCACCCCCAGCAGGAATGCTATTTTAATCAGTGGCAAACACATCTTAATCACCCCCCCTCCCCAAAGTAATAGTCTTTGCCTTCAGATCTAATGAAAATCAGCTCTACGAGAGGTAAAGCGATCGGCCTAGATTTGCTGGTTACTTCTTTTCCCACCTATTCACTTATTTTTTTAAAAAATATTTTGAGTACCTTGAACAGTATCAAAGTTTATAGAACCAAATGTGAAAGCCAAGGCAGAAGTGGTGGCACATATTTATAATCCCAGAACTTGGAGGTGGAAGCAGAAGACTGTGAGTTCAAGACTAGCCTCAGCTATATAGCAGATTTAAGGGTAGCCTGGGCTTCATTAAGACCTTGTCTCAAAACCACAAAAACCACCATTACCAAAAAAATAAAAATCTAACTTTTTCCTTCCAATCCTTACCCATAATTGTCTACTGCTAAAAATAGTAGATAAATATCTCCCAGATTGACATTACAAATATTTGGCAGTAAATAAATTTACTTAACATGTTCAGTTTTGAATAGCTATAAATGGAGGCACATTTCGTTCATTTTAACAGCTGGACAGGTTACTTCATTGTTTGGGGAGTCTCTCACTTAATTGGTTCTTTCTTGGCAAAGTTTTTGTTGTTTCTGGTACGTTTCTCTTTGACACAGAGCTCTGCAGAAGACCTTTGTGCACATATGCCCATCCTTGCACTAAGAGACTGTGGTATACTTTCTAGAAGCGACATTCTCCGTTAATCAGACTGTCTGATTGTCCCTTCAAACGACAGCACCAGTCTATGCCATTCTCGCTCAACTGGACAACCCCACACTTTGCCATGGTTCCACTGGAAATATTCATTGTGTTTTTTCTATCCTGAATCTGATGCCATATGGCCATGATCACAAAAGAACAGGAGCCCCTTTAAGAGACTCAAAGTGGCAACAGCGGTTAAGCACCAAATACAAGTGTTCCCTAAGTACTTACTTCATGGGTCTCAACAAATTGCGTGTTATGCTAATGAATAAAATACACCTTTAGAGTGAGCTGGCTCCTCGGGGCCTTCCTTCTGCTCACCCACCTGAGCAATGGAGAATGGAAGCCACCAAGGCACCCAGATGATGGCTGCCCTAATGATCTCCCAGGAGCCTAATAGGAACACATGTGTCTGTGGTAATGACAGTGTTTACAGCGACTTACTTAAATAGAAAGGAGCTGGAAGCTGAGCAGGAAGGAAGGGGGATGAAACGTGTCCAGCTGACAGCTTGTAAGTCGGAAACAAGACCGTAGCGGGCCTTTGCAAACCTGGCCCCAGGAGCTGATGGGTTGGCATCCTAAATGCCCCCTTTATTTATTCCAGTCTGCGTGGTCTTATAGGAAAAAAAATGTGGGTAATGATATTCCTGAGCTGAGCTGTTGGATACTTAAGAACTGATGTACAATGTCAATTGAAACAGAGGTAGAGGGTGTGTTGAGTACCCCAGAAGGCAGTTTCCTGGCCCAAATGTGGAACCATCTGGCTTGTGAAGCACACATTTAAGGGGGCAGAGAACTAAGACACTGGATTTTATACTCTCCCGAGAAATCACAGAGACACAAAACTGTTTTTCTTTTGCGTGTGTGCCTGAACATATATATCAGTATGTGTTCACAAGTGTGCATATGCATGTAGAGGCCAGGAAACAGTCTCTAGTATTTCTCAGGTGTTATCCACCTTGTTATTTTTGTTTGTTTGTTTGTTTAAAAAGTGTCTTTTCTTGGCCGGAAGTTCTGACAAGTAGGCTAGGCTGACTGGCCAGGGAGCCCCAGGCATCTGCCTATATCTGCTTCTCAAACTGGAATTATAAGCATGCCACCATGCCTGGATTTTTAGTTAAACTTGGGTTCTGGAAGGTCAAACTTGGCAAGCATTATTGGCTGAGCCACCTTCCCAGTCCACAAATCCACATCTCCATATACAGCCCCACAGAGAGACAGCTGAAGATGGTTCCTAATCATCTTTACATGTCATCTCTGCCTAAGTCCATGTGCTGAGGACCAAGGAGGTAGAGACAGCTGCTTTGCAGAAGCAGATCAGAAGGGTAGGAATGAACAGGCTGGAAGCCAGAGACACCCACGTTTGAGCTCTGCATCTTAGTGTCTGGGAAACATTGTGCAGTGGGGTGGGGGGGAGTGGGATTCAGCTTTCTATTTCTCTGTAAGCTTCTAGATGAGAGTGTCTATCTTAGAGACAGCGAGAGAACTGATCTCACAACCTAGTGTGTATGGTGTCTTTAATATATTCATCTTTAGCATTTGGTGTGGCTTGTCACAGTTCCTAGTGATCACTAAGACAGTCCCCACTCTTCTGGAATTTAGATTCAGCCACAGCTACTTACTTACATACAACTGAGGTTAGCCAAAGACAATCATGAAGATTCTTTATCCCCATCTAAGAACATTCAAGAACAAATAAATAACTGCAGTTAGGGATATAGTTATCAGTAGAGCCCATGCCTAGCACAGACAAGATATAAGACCTTGGGGGGGGATGAAAAGAAGGGAGAAGAAAGAAGGAAAGAGGTGGATAGAGAACAAGGAGAGATAGTAGGTGGTGAGTTTCCCACAAGTAACTTTTCAATGGTCCTTTATCATTCTAGCTCCCCCTGCCCCCAGGCACTGCACCTCCACCATACCTCATCAGCATCATAAAAGCCCCAGGGTCACCGGGCTGTGGTGGCACACACCTTTAATCCCTGCACTCAGGAGGCAGAGGCAGTCGGATCTCTGTGACTTCGAGGCCAGGCTGGACCGACAGCCTCCAAAACAATACAGAGAAACCCTGTCTTGTAAAAAACCAAAAAAAAAAAAAAAGTCCCAGGGTCAGGGAGGTGAGTCTGAGTCCTGGCCTTACACACCATGGCACTTAGCTCATTGCACTCACTCTGTCTCCCGTTAACATTCAAATAACATAAACTTTTATATCCCACCAATGAAATTAAGTAAGTAAAATCCAGATGGTGCTCTGAAGGAAAATAAACAAGGTTTGGGAAAGGTTAGCAGTGGGGGTGCTAATTTCCAGGGTTATCAGAGAAGTCTGCACAGAATACACAGTTAAGTTTGGTAAGGAGAGATGAGAGCAGGCAACATCTGCAAAGTACCCACAATCCTTCTCACCCAGGGTCTCTTTGCATATTGCCTTCAGGACACACTTGGCTCCAGCTCATCAGAACCATCACAGCCTTGGATTCTACATTCCAAAGCTGTCATTGTGTTTGTTTGTTTATATCTCAACTTCTGGTTTCCCCTCCCTCCTTCCCTCCCAGTCCCTCCCCCCACACCTATCCACCCCACCTATCCTCTGTATCTGTTTGGGAAAAGGCAGTCTTCCCATAGATATCAGACAGCCATAGCCATGGTATATAGCAAGTTGCAGTGAGACAGGCAACTCCTCTCCTGTTAAGGCTGGATGAGACAACCTTGAAGGAAGAAAGGGTCCCAAAAGCAGGCAACAGAGGCAGAGACAGCCCCTGTTCCCACTGTTAGGAGTGCCACAAGAAGATCAAGTTGTACAACTGTAACAAAAATGCAGAGGCCCTAGGTCAGTCCTATGCAGGCCCCCTAGTTATCTGTTCAGTCTCCACGAGCCCCTATGAGCCCAGGTTAGTTGAGTCTGTGGGTTTTCTTGTGATGTCCTTGACCCCTCTGGCTCCTACAATCCTCCTTCCCTCTCTTCTACAGGATTCTCAGAGCTCTGCCTAATGTTTGTCTGTGGGTCTTTGCATCTGTTTCCATCAGTTCCCGGATGAAGCCTCTCTGATGACAATTGGGCTAGGCACTTATCTCTGAGTATAGCAGAATATCATTAGGAATCATTTCATTGACTTTTTTTTTTCAATTGTGTTTAGTTCTATCCTAGGAGGTCTCTAGGCTATCCAGCCTCTGGGTCCTGACCCTCCAGGGAGTGACTGGGGTATGGGTCTCAGGCTGGACTGGTCACTGGTTGTCAACTCCCACAATTTCTTCATCACCTGTAGGCAGGACAAATTGTAGGTTGAAGGCTTTGTGGTTGGGTTGGAGTCCCAATCCCTCTACTGGAAGTCTTGCCTGGTAACAAGAGATGGCCAGTTCCTCTGTATCCCCCAATGTTAGGAGTCTTAAGCTAGGGTCACCCTTATAGACTCCTATTTTTGTTTTTTGTTTTTTACATTTCCATTTTATCTAATCAAATGTTTTTCATCCTACCTCTTTCCCCACTCAACCACGCCCCCCAGAAAAGGATGGTGACCTGAAGTCTCAAGTGGAAAAGTTGTGGCGGGAAGTGAATGCCCTGAAGGAGATGCAAGCTCTGCAGACAGGTGAGATGGTCAGTCACCAGAGTCTGCTCTGGAAGGGGAGCAAGGAGAGAGTCAGACATTGCCCTGGATTGAGCTCTTCCAGGCCGAATGTTAAGTTCAGCAGCCTGTCTGTTTATTAAAACAAAACAAAATAACACAAAGCAAGACAAAAAGACAAAACAAAACAAAATTGATAGCCAGATATGCTAGCACACGCCTTTAGTCCCAGCACTTGAGAGGCAGAGACAGGCAGATGTCTGAGTTCCAGTCCAGCCTGGTATACACAGTGAGTTCCAGGACAACCAGGTCTAGACTTAGGGGTCAGAATACAGGAGGATCCCTGGGGCTCACTGGCCAGCCAGTCTTGCTGAATCAGGGAGCTCTAGGTACAGGGAAATATCTACTAGAAAAATAAGGTGGAGAGCAATAATTGAGGAAGACACATGATATCAGCCCCTGGCTTCCACACTGAAACATATACACAGAAACACACACACACACAAACACACATACAAAATCATACACAGAAACACACACACAGAGAAATACACACAGAAACACATGCACAAACACATACACAGAAACACACACACATACACACACACAGAAACACACATACGAAGATACTTTAAAGACAAGGTCTTAATTACCTTCTGTCTGTTTGTTTGCTTGTTTGAGACAGGGTCTTACTATGTAGCTCTGGCTGTGCTGGAACTAACCATATAGACTAGGCTGGCCTCACCCTAACCTAGAGAGCTGGAATTAAAGGCATACATCACCATTCCTAGCCTTAATTACCTTCTTTATAGGTGGGGAAACATAATGAAAGGAGTACTAAATGACTGAAATGAAGCATTACCTCACTGAGGGCCATCAGGGAGCCACTGAGACTTGACTAAAACAGGTCCACACCAACAAGGCTACACCAAACATGGACACGCATGTAAAGATATTGTTAGGGCCTTGGCTTGCTAACAGACTTTGTCTGGAGAGAAGCACTCCTCCACAACCTACGAGCTGCACATATTTCTGGCCAGGATCTGTGTTCTAAGGAGGTGAATGAATGAGAGCTGAAGGTGCAGGTCTGGAGTAGCCCTGGCCTGTAAGGATATCAAGAGCCAATGTCTCTTATATAAGCTTTGAGAGTTGACTTTTGAGGGTCCCTGCAGGAAGTCTACCTATTAAAGTTAGCACCTTGAGATTAATGGAGTCACAGCTCCCCATCAAATAGTCATTACTTCCAAGCTAGTGTATGTTACCAAACCAGGGTCCCCTTCACAGTACACAATGCTTCCCAGGAACAGGGTGAAAACACTCTTCTTACCAGCTTTCCAGGGATACATAATTAAAAAATTAAAGTAGGGGCAAATGATCCTGTATAATGGAAAAAAATATGTTACTCTTTTTGTGTGTTCTGACACCATTAATGCTTTGTTCTGAGAGAGGGCCTCATGTTGAGTAGTATGGCTCAAACTCACTACCCAGCTGAGGCTGACTTTGAACTCCCAATTGCCCTGCCTCCACCTCCCAAATACTGGGGTGATAGCCATGCATCAGCATACCAGGTTACTGCCTAAAAGTTAATTTTCCAATGCATGTTGAATAGCCACTTTACATTGACTTCTACAATAATTCATACTAAAATGTGATGGAGGGAGACTTAAGTCATGCACTATGACTCTGGAGCTTGGCTCAACAGTACTACACCCTTAAACTACTTGTATTTTACCCTGAGTAACCTAAGCAATATTACTAGTCCCCAGTTATCTTTTGAAGAAAACCACAGTTCCAGCTGGGCATGGTGGTGCATGCCTGGTAACCCCAACACTCTGAAGTGACAGGTTCATTCAAGGCCAGGCTAGGCTATAGAGAGAACTTGTCTTTTAGAGCATGGCTGTAGCTGACTTGATAGAACACTTGCCTCACATGCACAAAGCCCTGGGTCCTATTTCAGCATTGCTTTAAAAACCAGGGTTTGTTGACACATGCCTAATAATGCCACAGAATCAGTAGGTAGAGGCAGGAGAATCAGAAGCTGAAGGTCCTCCTGAGATGCATAGTGGATCAGAGGCCATCCAGGACCACATGAGACCATGTCTACAAATACCACAATGAGGGCTGGCAAGACCACTCAGCAGGCAAAGGTGCCTGCCACCAAGCCTGACAACCTGTGCTTGATTCCTGAGTCCCACTTAATGAAAGGAGAGAACAGACTCCCACATGTTGTCCTCTGCCAAATGCACTATGGCAGGTGTACACACATACACACATACACACTACACACACACACACACACACAGAGTGGGGAATGGTGAGGGAGATATCCTGTTACAAAAAGAGAACAGACTCCCACATGTTGTCCTCTGCCAAATGCACTATGGCAGGTGTACACACACACACACACACACACACACACACACACACACACACAGAGTATGGGATGGGAGGGAGAGATACTGTTATAAAAAACAAGGGAACAAAGTAAAGTAGGGGGAAACTCACCATTCTCAGAGAGTTTTTGTCTCCTTTTTTGTTCCTTTTTTCCTTCCTTCCTTCCTTCCTTCCTTCCTTCCTTATTTCTTTTTCTTTTATGGCTGTTGTTTTTAAGACAAGATCTGTCTATGTATGGCTGGCCAGGATGGAACTGTAGATCAAGCTGGCCTCAATTTTATAGCAAGCATTCTGTCTCAACCTCTCAAGTGCTACAGTTATAGGCATGGGCCACCACAGGTGATTTGTGTTTGCTTTTTAAATGATTATGAAATTCCATTCCATTCTAAAAGTCCCAAGGAAACCTACCATGTTGTTCCCTATATAAACTAGGATACAAATTATCTCAAAGCAACCTAGGGCTTAAGGTTATGTTTTGAGTCTTTTGTGGGTATGAATTCATTATATGTTCCCTAAACCCTTTTGGGGCATGTTAACTTGTAACCATTTCTCTAGCTTCAATAACCTGACAAATGTGGATGATAAAACACCACCATGTTGTGTGGTTGCTGAAATTGCTACTGCCTATTATTGTGTCTGGCATGGGTAAATCCATCATTGGTAACTCACCACTGTCAGCACATTAATCATTACACAAACATCTATCAATGCTTGCTAGGTCTAGTATTAGGTATGTCACACACAATTACTTCATCCTATTACTTCATCAAATGTCCCATCTTCACAGTCTGTCTTCGAGGTACCAAAGTTCATAAGAAATGCTACCTTGCTTCAGAAGGCCTGAAGCACTACCATGAAGCCAATGAAGATTGCATTTCCAAGGGAGGAACCCTGGTTGTCCCCAGGAATTCTGACGAAATCAACGCCCTCCGAGACTATAGTAAGAAGAGTCTGCCAGGTGTCAATGACTTTTGGCTGGGCATAAATGACATGGTCACAGAAGGCAAGTTCCTTGATGTCCATGGATTCGCTGTCTCCTTTCTCAACTGGGACCGGGCCCAGCCAAGTGGTGGCAAGCGGGAAAATTGTGTTCTATTCTCCCAGTCAGCTCAGGGAAAATGGAGCGATGAGGCCTGTCGAAGTAGCAAGAGGTACATATGTGAGTTTATCATCCCTTAGCAAGTCCCTCCCAAATATCCCTTCCAACTAAAGCTGGTCATGATAAGTAAGCTGGTAGTCACCCTAAATAAGCCAAATTACATTTATTAATTGCAAGATTGCAATGCAAGTATTGATAACCATAGGTTTATAGAGTCAGACCATGTTTCTACTGTAGCTCATTATGGTGTTACCTTCATGTAGCTAAGGGGATCAGAAAAGAATGACATGGTAAGAAAGGGACTTCTGAATATGGGTTGTCAAATCCTTTTCCCACCTTCCCTGTCTATCTCAGGTGGATAGACCTGGCCTATTTGAAAAATATAATAGCTATGTGTTTCTTCAAGACAGAAAAGCAAGACTGGGATGCCTGGAAGATTTCTCTTTAAAATTTAGTCATGCTAGAAATACATGTTGAGAAATATGTCCTTGGTTGATTTTCTGGTTGTATGGACATTGTAGTGTGCCCTACATGAACTCTATGTTGTAGGGCAAAACTCCAGGTGGCTTCTAAATGCCCCAAGATGTATAGTAGACAAAAGCTGTGTGAGCATTCTGCTGGCCCTACATGGAAGGCTTTCACAGTATACGTCTTTTCCTAAGTACAAACACATAATAAAACAACAGTTGAAAACACAGCAGAGTATACTGTCTTTCCATTACTATAAGATATTGACACAGACATGTGTGAAACAAAGTGAGGTTTATTTAGTGTGTAGTTTCAGTGGCTCAAAGTCAAAGATTAAACAGTCCTAGTGAATTGGCCAATGGTGAGGGTGGCAGACCATTAGCAAGAACTAGTGGTAGCATCTAAAACAAGAGCAGAAACAGAGATGATAAGTAGGATCTCCTTTCAGAGGAGTGTTCCTAGTCACCCAAAGACATCCTAGACAGATCCACCTCCTTAAGGTACACAATACCTTTCAAACTTGTCACATCAGGATCCTTGAGGGAACAAAACAATCAAATGACCTTCAGCTATAGTGCACGATAAACATAAAAACAACACACTCATTTATCATAGTTAATCAAGTATTACATGCTGTGCCGAGTCATTGTGTTAAACTTTACGACTAGTGGTGTGCAAGGTTTGTTTTTAGTACTGTCACCAAGGACACACATAGTGCTACATGTAATTTGCTACATGAGAATATCAAAAATGTTTCTAGGCAAAAAATTTTTCAGCTCCATCACAGCCCTTGGGACAACCATCAAACATGGAGTCTATTACTGGTCAAAATATTGCACAGTACATGCGTATATTTGATTGATAAGAATGTCCTACGTCCGAGATTCTAGGTGCTATGTGATGCAAACCTTTTTAGCACGATGCTTGATTTCATCCACCCTGTTAGCCTATGGTCCTTGCCTTCAGATGCCACATCCCCTGGTGTGACATGGCTCCTGTCTGCCACATCGGAGCAGGGATGTCTGAAGAGGTTCTCATCTAACTCTTCAAATCCCCCAACTCCAGCTTTCTTGGAGGTTCCCAGTCAAGACTGCACACCCAAAGTGGGTGAGCATATTTGATGAATGTCTGCTCTCAGCAGTCTACAACTGCTTCTAGCCAATGAACAAAGCTGAGGTAGGAGATGGGCAGCAGGTGGTGAAGACAAAGAACTTAGAGACAGCAAGGCAGGGCGGAGGGGGGGGTGCAGTTCAGTGGGTAGAGTGTTTGTCTAGCATGTGAGAAGACCTGGGTTCAAAGTGAAAAGGACTCAAGCCTATAATACCAGCTCTGGGGAGGTGGAGGCAAAAGGGTTAGGAGTTCAAAGTCATGCTCTACCAGCTGAACTGGATGAGGCCCTATTTAGAGGACAACAAAAGAAATGAGTCCCTTTCCTTTCACTTACATATCCTTACAGTCTCCTTTTATATGTGATAACAATATTTTTCACTTTCTTTACATATATATTTCTTCAATTACCATTATGTATTTCACTCTATGAGGGGCAATTTGTCATTAGAAGTTGAAAGTTGGACTTAAATAACACTATTTCAGAGTAACACATGTGTGCAGTTTTTTTATTCAATGCTATTTCCATTAAATTGCTTAACTCGATTTTACAAAAATAACCTCATTGTTTAAAAACAGCAGCATACATTTAAAGCTTAGGGGAAATGGGTTTTGTAGAAATAAACAATTCTGAATATATTCTGCCCTTCAAATAAATATCTTTTCTCTTTTGTGAATAATGTCCTACTCCCAAGAGCTGAATTACATATGCTTAGAATTAAATTTTGGGTTTGTTTTATCATTGCACAATAAAGCCCCAAATCTGATCAGTGTGGATGTGTTTAGATATTGACTACATTTATTCAGAATATGATATTCATATCAAACTGGGCATAATTTAAGAAGGAAAAGGCCTGGATTTGAACAAACTGGTAACACCGGTGTGTATCTGGAGAATAATTTCAACCGGCCTTGAAGAAGCACAATTTTGAGATGGGGCTTGGGAGATGGGGGTGGTAGTGGGAAGCAGGGGAAACTTTAAACACACATAATTGCAATTATATTTGGTTGATCCCAGTCAACTGCAACATCATCACTGTCTTCCGAATGATATTAGTAGATGTGCAGTAGCTAAGTCGGTAAAGCACTTGCTTGAAGAAGTGAGTTCAAACCTAGAAAAACACATAGAAGGCTGAGTGTGGCAATGTGCACCTGTAACCCCAGGACTATGTAATGGAGGACAGAGTCAGATGGACTCCCGGAAGCTTGTGGATGAGCTAGCCTGGCCTACTTGGCAAAGTTCCAGGCCAATGAAAGATTCTACCTCATAAAAGTCGGGAGAGGTTCCTAAGAACCAACACTCAAGGTTGTCTTCTGACCTCCACATGTGTCCCATGTACATCTGCATCTGCACACACATGCACATGCATAGGCACATGAATGCACATGCATACGAGGGAGAGAGGGAGGGAGGGAGGGAGGGAAGGAGGGAGGAAGAAATGAATTGAGCAGACATGAATGAGCAGCACATTCCTGGTTCTGTGCTGAATTTGACACAATTCTCACTTTTCTTCAGAACAACACTGCGAAGTAGGCTCTAGATTTAATTTTATTATATAGAAAAACACAATAAGAGAGGGACAGCTGTCCTAAATCACATGCTCAGAAGCAGTGGCCCACTCACCACACCCTTAGCAACCATGGAGGCTGTGACTTGGTAAAAATCTGTCCCAACAGATGTTGGGGCAGATTCCAACTCATAGCTCAGCTTCCTCTTCTAAGGTCAAAGTTTGGGCAAACAGGTGACCTTGAGAAGACATTGAGTCTGAAACTGCTGTCCTTGACCCCTTTGCAAGGCCTGAGTTAAGAGGCCTAGGACCGCGCCGGGCGTTGGTGGCGCACGCCTTTAATCCCAGCACTCGGGAGGCAGAGGCAGGCGGATCTCTGTGAGTTCGAGGCCGGGCTGGACCGACAGCCTCCAAAACAATACAGAGAAACCCTGGCTCGTAAAACCAAAAAAAAAAAAAAAAAAAAAAGGAAGGAAGGAAGGAAGGAAGGAAGGAAGAAAATACAATCCAACAGCGCCACCATCAGCCTGAGGAATTCCCCCTCCCGCTCAGATCCTCCACTCACTTCAAGGGAGGTCTTTGACTACTATGCTCTGGAAAGAATGGCATGATGAAACGTGCGATCCAACAGAGTTAGTGACTGTCAAGCATTTAGACAAAGTCATAGATGTAAAAGCCTGAGACAGTGGTGTAGGCATCTGGAGAGAAACTCACACTTCATCACAACGTCTGTGTATTGAACCTGCAACTTTCCAAGTTATGTTCCTCAAATGTTGTGATTTATAACATGTTTAAAGATTAAGGAAAACATTAAATTTAAGTAAATTTTGAAAGTTAAATAAACATGTATGAGTTGGTTTCTCTGTGTCTGTCTATCTGTGTGTGTGTGCGTGTGTGAGTGTGTGTGTCTGTGTGTGTGTGTGTGTATGTATGAATGTTCATGTGTGCCTAAGCATGCAAATGATTGTGGAGGTCAGAGTTCATCAGGTGACCTTCCTCAGGGACTATACTGGTTTTTAATTTTTTTCCCCTTATGGTTAGGTGCCCCACTACTAGAGCAGGCTGAGTGACTAGCAAGCCTCAGACATCTGCCTGTCTCTACCTCTGCTGGGATAACAAACTGTGTTTGTTTCTTTTCTGATTTCTTTTTTTAAAAGTGGATTCCTGGAATCAAAAAATGTGAGCAAACCCTTTCCAAGTTGAAATATCTCCCCAGCCCAATTTATTTTTCTTTTCTTAAAAAACTATTTTAAATGAAATATAAGCCTGTTTTATAAGGTAGACTATATAGATTTAGGAATGAGGGGGGAAACTAAAACAGTCAAACTCAAGCTACTAAAAGGCTGGCCCTAGGTCAGCACAGCTCATTGTTGGTCACATCCTTAGGAAAAGAAACAGTCTGGACTTTATTGCCTGTGTTGCAGTTACTTGGCTTTCAGCCAGAAAAGAAACTTGATCCTGGGGTGAGGGGCTTCTTTTTCCTCTTAGGTCCCCTTAATTTTCCATTTTTCTATCCATCCTCAGAAGAAATAGATCAGTAGTGGTTTCTGATCTTCCTAATGCTGGAACATTTTAGTATAGTTCCTCATGTTATGGGGACACCCACAATCATAAAATTATTTTCCTTAATACTTCAAAACTGTAATTTTGCTACTGCTATGAATCATAATGTAATATCTGATATGCCGGATATCTGATTTGCCACCCTTTTTTTTTCTTCTTCTTTTTTTGGTTTTTCCGAGACAAGGTTTCTCTGTATTGTTTTGGAGACTGTCCTGGAACTAGCTCTGTAGACCAGGCTGGCCTCGAACTCAAAGAGATCCGCCTGCCTCTGCCTCCCGAGTGCTGGGATTAAAGGCGTGCGCCACCAACGCCCGGCTATGATTTGCCACCCTTAAAGGGGCTGCGATGTACAAACTGAGACACTGGAATAGACAAAAAAAAAAAAAAAGGCAAAAGGCTAAGATGCAAATTAAGAGACTGACTGTTACAATCAGTTTCATGACTCTATTATTTAACCAAAAAATAAAAATAAAAATAAGCAGAAGTCTGTGGTCTGTGCTGCAGCCTGAACCCATATTGATGTCCATGGTCTGAGCTGCTTCCGAGGGCCTCATCTGGGCCTGAGGTCCAACTGCAGCTGGGGCCATGTTTGTGGTCTGTGCTGTCAGCAGAAACCGTGTGCAGGCCCATGATCCATGCTCCCACTGACTGTGAAGAGCAAGGAGGGTACTTTGCTTTTATATCAATGACACAGTTGAGAAGGAGGGACAAGGACAGATTCTCTGACAATGCCTACCCTTCCCCCCTCCAAAAGGTAGCAGTCTGGACAGGAAGCCATCAAAGAGAAGTCTCAAGGGGTGTAGTGGGAATGTTGAAGTGTAGTTCTCTACTATTGATGTCTCTGGCATGGATGCAGGAGGGGAAGGACTCAGTTCTTAAAGGGCAGGCCACTGAAAGTTTGACCATACCCCAGTGAGTATATAGGTAACACAAATTAGACTCTCCCCCCTTATTTTTTTTGAGGGTGTATCACATGGGTGGGGGCAGGAAGGACTGGAAAGTGAGTGCAATCAGGACACATGATGTGAAATTCCCAGAGAGTGAACAAAAATGTTACATTGAAAATAAAGTCACATGCTCAGGGGGTAAAGGAGGAGGACCAATGGGGAGGTCGAGGCCAGTGAGTTCTAGGCCAGCCTGATGTGAGCATGTGTTATAAATGGGGCTCAGCAGTGGGTGAGCTCTCAAGCTAGTAGAAGAGCATCTGTGTGAAATGCTGCCAGTCTGCACAATAGAGAGAAAGCAAGCTCTTATAGCAGTCTGATGAATATGGCATTTACTCAGGGAGGGATGCAAGTGCAATTCCAAACAATGCCCAGCAAGAGGAGACCTAGCACATTGGTTTTTGGCTGGTTGATAGGTGGGTTCATTGTTTTTTATTAACAAGGTCTCATGCAGACCAGGTTGATCTCAAACTCCCTAAGTAGCCAAGGATAACCTTGAACTTCTAATCTTCCTGCCTACTGAGTGTTGAGATTACAGATTTATGCCATCTCACACATGCTGGGCAAGCACTCTACCAATTGAGCTATAGCCCCACCCCAAAGCCTTGAAAATTTGATACCAGGTGGTGTGTGCCATTTGCAATCAAAATAATTCTGGAGAGACTAGAAAGATAACTCAGTGGGTAAGAGAACAGTTTGCTCTTAGTGAGGATCCAAATTTGGTTCCCATCACCCATATATCACATGGCTCCCTACCACCTATAACTCCAGCTCCCTCTCCTGGCCTCCAAGGTCACATGCAGTCTTGTGTACATAGCCATTCACAGATACACACATATATACATAATTAAAAGTAAATAATAATAATTCTGGAGCTGGGGCTATTGCAAGGTTGGTAGAGCACTTGTCTGGCAACTGGGAAGTCCTGGGTTTGAACACCAACACTGCATTAACTGGACATGCTTAGTCTCATACATTAGCAGTCTCAGTATTCCAGAGAGTGAGGTGGGAGGATCAGAAGTTCAAGTCCATCTCTGGCTACATAGCAAGTTCGAGGTGAGCCTAGGATGGATGAGGCCTAGGTGTAGTTGATCAATGGAGACTGGGATGTTTTCAGCAAACCTCTGCTGCATGGAATCAAGGGTGTGGGAGTGGGGAATGGGAAAGGGCAGAGGGCTTCACTGTGCTGCAGGGTGCTTGTGGGTGAAATTGCAAGGTATCTGCCTTGGCTTTGCTAGCTGTGTCCATATCCACTACCAAGGGTTGAGATGCGTGGGTTGCTAGGGTAGGAAGGACTGGGGGAAGGGTCATAGGAGCATAGGCTAGAGGAGAAGTGAAGAAGGAAAGGGTAGGAGAGGGATTTATACACAGTGGTTCTGGAGACGCCCTCCCTCCTACAGGAGGTGAGAAATTGGAGGATACTCAGCTGCGGTCTTGAAACCCCCAAGAAGCCCTAAGTGGAGGAATAGGGGTAAGAAGGGAGAGTCAAAAGAGACCTAGGGATCATGGATAAATTTGACACCAGAGAGGATGGGGGACAGACAGTATCAAGGGCCTAGTAGCCTGGTATGTCACAACAGTGGAGGCAGGAGAAGCTCAATTAGAAAAATGTGTAAGGAGTCAGGTGCAGAAAGTTCACAGGCCCAGGAGCAGGTGTGGGGGAAGGCCATTGGCAGAGTAGGCCACCAACACATATTTTATCCATATGGCACCTTCTTTAGCATCCTTGATTGGGCTACTTTGGTCCTTCAT